AAAAACAAAATAACACATACCAGTAGAGTGCAAACTCTAAATTAATTTGAACTTTTGTAAGGTACTAGACAACATAAGCTTACATTTTGTTAGCCAAAGAACTTTACATTTTTAAATTTTTGTATTAGTAATGATCACATTCATCACAGGCAATCTGTACCTGCACACAGTATGTCTTCATTCTTTTTCCCATTCCCCTCCCCTCCCTTTAATCCTTCATCTTCTCCCATTTACAAAAGCTTTGTTTCCATTTTTCCCCCTCTATTTTTTGTTTAATCCACTTTCCCTTTCCCCTGCCTTTTTTTAAATATCAGATTTTTAATTTTTTTTAATTTTTTTGGTACCGGGGATCAAACTCAGGACCCTGTGCTTGAAAGGTAGGCAGTGGCACCACTGAGCTAAATCCCTGGTGTTTCCCTGCCCTTCTGAACATGTTTTTCCTACTTTCCAATTATCTGTTCTCCATTACACTCCTTATTTACCCTTTGGGTTTCTCACACAAGAGAAATAATTGCAATATTTAAACTTGTGTGTCTGACTGATTAGGCTTAAAATTATGGTCTCAAGGCACATCCATTTACCTAAAAGTCTCAAGTTTATCCTCCTTTATGGGAGAGTGGTACTCCATTGTATATATTTTTAAAAGCCTTATTTCCTTTATCCATTCACCTGTTAATAGGCATGTAGGCTATTTCCAAGGATTTAGCTACTTCATATTGTGCTGCTATAAATATGGGTATGCATATATCACTGTGGTGTGATGCTTTTAACTCTTTCAGGAGGACACCCAGAAGGTGAATAGCTGGGTCAAATGGAACTTCTAATTTTTTTTTGAGGACACTCCATATGAATTTCCATAGTGGTTCTATCAGTTTACACTTCCACCAACAGAGAAACACAGCCTTGCTAGCATTTGTAATTGGTTGAGTTCCTTTTTTTGGCACTGGGGATCAAACTTGTGACCTTGCACTTCAGAGGCAGGCGGCGGCACCACTGAGCTAAATCCCCAGCCCAGCTGAGTGCTTGATCATAGCCATTCTTTCTGGACTGAGATGGAATCTGTGTTAACCTGCATTTCTAACTATCATTCATCTCAGTCACTGAAGGCAAGTTGCTAGATACAGAAACAGAACTGGTGAACCAAACATCAAGGGTTTTTTAAAATTTTATGGTACTAGGGATTCAGCCCAGGGTCTTCAGAGCTACACCCCCAATTTTTTTGGGGGGGGGGAGTACCAGGGGGGTCAAACTCAGGACCTTGCACTTGCAAGGCAGGCGGCAGAACTACTGAGCTAAATCCCCGGCCCAGTTATGGAAATATTACAGAATTTTTTCCTTGTCCCCCATTATGAGTAGCTTGACCGGTCCCGTTAATTCCCACACCGCCGGGGGGGGGGGGGGGTGTCTAACTCAGGACCTCACAAGACAGGTGTGGCGTCCCTGAGCTAAACCCACCCCACCCCTGGCTCAAGTTTTGATATGAGATACATGTTGGAAAAGTCTGGACTGGCTATCTCCCTGCTTAGAAAGCACAGGAAGAAACTCAATCAACACAAGGAGAGATGACAGCCTAGCAACATTCCTGGCCTGTACAGCCCAACCCTTATCAGGGCAATGGCTTTGTGCTGCATACCTGACAGCAACACAGGTCTGGAATCCACTTCAAAGGGATTCTGCCACACATAGATGTCCTGAGACATTTGGATGACAATGCAGAGTTTAAAGGGTGGATAAACTAAGGGCTGGAAATTTCAAGGCTCAGGGCAAGTTCTAAGTATCTGGCTAGTACATCACCACTGTAACAAAGCCTCACGTCACCAGCTAGAGACACTAAAGTGTATCTACATGTCACATTCCAATGGAATTTGAGAGAAAATAATGTAGGTTATATCCAGGCCTCTCCCAGAACTTCTCACATATGCTCCTTGCCCTTTTCCCTTCCTACTCACCACGTAAAAGAGGTCCCCAATACCAAAATAAAAAAAAAGAGAGAGAGAGAGAGAGAGAGAGAGAGAGAGGGAGCCAGGCGTAGTGGTGCACACCTGTAGTTCCAGCACTTGGGAGGCTGAGGTAAGAGGATCACCATGAGTTTGAGGCCAGCCTGAGGAACACTGTGAGTTCAGGGCCAGCCTGAACTACAAAGGGATACCATGCCTCAAAAAAAGAAAAAACAAAAACAACAAAAAAGAGAGAGAGAGGTCTTTATTGTCTAGTTACTATGAATGTCTAACTAGAGCTAGGTTTTCATTCACTAACTTATTCCAAGTACTACTAGTAGTAGCCATACTAGTATAGTTGGTAACATACCCAACTCAATCAGATCCTTGTCTCCACCAAAAGATGGCTGGGTTGTTCTGAAGATAAACCCTGGTCATCAGAGCTACCGTCTTCTTGCTGGGGGTGGGATGGGAGGGGGTCATAGTAGTTCAGTTCTCCATAAACCCTTCTGGACATTCTGATGGAACCCAGGGGGGAACTGATTTGGTTGTTTCAACGGCTTCCTTAACCATGCATTCCCATCACCTAAGGTCACAAAAAGTACGACTATGGTAAACTAGGAAAGAAGTTATGATGTAAAAAACAATTCCAAATGGCATTAATTATGGACATAGTACAAAACTGAAGGCAAAGGTCACACTAAACTTGAAGATAGATGTTTGGAGTTCTATGAAATTTTAGTCTTCTTGCTGGGCATGGTGACCCATGCCTATAATCCTCACACCCTGAGAAGCCAAGGCAAGGCAATTGCAAGCTTGAGTCCCACCTAGGCAATTTAGTGATTTAGTGAGACCCTTCTCAAAAAAAAACCTGGGGGCCGGGGATTTAGCTCAGTGGTTTCGCCGCCTGTTGCACAAGCACAAGGACCCGAGTTTAATCCCTGGTACCAAAAAACAAAAAATAAAATTAAAAAACTGGGAAGAGCAACCCATTTTCCTGGTGTCCTTTCCTGTCCCTCTCAGGCAGGGGCTCTCACTCAGTAAATATTCCTTACTCAAAAAAAAAAAAAAAAGCTGGGAAATATGGCCCAGCCACAAAGCCCCCTTCAATTCCAAACACTGGGGGGGAAAAATAGGTCTGAGGATGTAGGTCAGATGTAGGGCATTTGTCTAGCATGCACAAGGCCCTGGGTTGGAGCCCCAGCAAAACAAAACAAACAAAAAACCTTTATTTCTCTGAAAAACTTCGGATTTCATGTTATCTATCATAGGAATATTCATTTACCTCTGTTGTTAAAGTCCAGTGGAAAAGTTGGAGACATACTAAACTGTGGTAATGTTGAAGGTTCTTTTCATAGCAATCTCATATTATGTGAATTTTTTTTTTTCTCCTACAAATCCTATTAGATTTTAAGCTGCACTACCATAGTATGATTTAAACTTCTTTATATCCTTTGGGACAGGCTGAATAGTGTTCCCCAAAGACACTCAGGTCCTAACTCCTAGAACCTAAGAATGTTTCATCACAACAAAAAAGGGGCATTACACATCTAAGTAAGCATCTTAGATGGCGCACCTGTCCTTGATGAGTGGGCAAGAAACCAGAAGGGCTCCATAAAAGGGAGGCAGAGGGAAATCTGACTAAAGAAGAGAAGGTGGCAGAAGCAGACACTGAAGTGATATGAGTAAGGACTCAGCAGGAATACAGACAGCCACTAGGAGGTCAAAAATAGTAGGAAACGGGGCTGGGGATGTAGCTCAGGGGCACCACACCTGCCTGGCAAGCACAAGATCCTGAGTTTGATCCCTGGAGGTGGGGGGCAGTAGGAAATGGATCCTCCTCTCAGATCTGAGATTCCAAAAAGAAGCAGGCCTGCAACACCTCGACTTTAACCCAGTGAAAATTATTTCAGACTTCTAACCTCCAAAACAAGGCTAGGTTAGCACTGATTTGCACATAATCCATTCTAAAGTACTAGTAAACTGACAACATGGACATCGTTCTGGTTCAGATTACAGAAATTCTCTTATTTTTGCTATCAAGTGAAAATAAATATATAGAATTCACTGAAAATGTGTTCTTTCCAGCATTATAGTGAAAATGCAAAAAAGCAGGGTCTTAAGTTCCATTTGTAATATTAGTGGCAGAGGAAATCAAGATTTTAAGTTAAAACAAAGATACGACTTAGAGCTTCACGAATACTAGGTGAGAGAAAACTCAGAAACGCAGGGATGTGGCTGATCTGTCTTTCCTTTATGCCACACAGAACAGTCTAAGGTAAGACCTCCAACCAGACTCATCTCACTTCTGCTCACAGGGGGGAAACTGTCCTCATCCCTAGACCAGCGGACTCAAGTTTCCTGTAGGCTGAAGAGAAATTTCACACTAGTGTTACTGGGCTTCACACTACCAGTTTCATTCTGTGCGGTAGTTCAAATGCCACTCCAGGCGTGGCAGAAAAAAAATAGCAAAGACAGGAACGGTCAGATGTAACTTATATCAATTTTCTCACTTGCTCACCACAGCTGTTAGAAGCAGTCCTTCGGTACTAACTGCAGTGAAGAATCTGAGGACGACCTACCCAGTGACTGCCTCCCACCTTGATGTCTTCCCACCGGATCCTTCTACCTTGATAACAGTAATTCACTGCCAGGTATGCTGTATTCACTTTTTACAAAAAATTTCAACTTACGAAAGAAAACAGAAGCAGTATTTTACAATGCTATCTTTATTTTACATCCATGGAAGACGAATGCCACGCTCAATCTGTCAGACGTGAAGACAATACACACAAGGGTAACTTAACGCGTCAGTCCGTTTCTTCTCAGGAAAACGAAAACACAAACGGCACCCACTCCCCACCCCGCCTCCCAGGGAGACAGGCCACACCATTTCGGAGATAAAACCTAACTCCGGAAAGAAAAATTTAACTCAACCGTAACCAGGTGGTGCCATTTCATAAAAATACAAACTTAACTTAGAAAACCAGCATTTAGCTCAACCAATCCCCTTCTGTCCCATCACCCTTACCGGCAGTGTTCCCGCCATTCAGTCACTCTTACCTGTGTCTCCTAAGCCCAGAGCCCTGTGCATATTCCGGAACGCGTCTGGTGCACTGCCGCCGGAGGCAAGAAAACCTCCCCCTTAACTTTTGTCGCGACTGGTTACCGCGTCGGCGTCGCTAGGGACCTCGTGGGACCTAACACTACCTACTTCCAGAGAGCCCCGCACGTGGCCCGCCGCGGCGCACCCGCCCCAGGAGTTCGGCGTCACCGGCTTCCTAGACCGAGCGGACACCGAGGCTGTCCGTCCCTGGCCCAGCCCGGTCATTGCGAGTACCTTGAGCAGCGACTCCCACCCAGAGCTGGAGAAAAAGCGCGCGCATCTGCGGCTCAGCCCAGACGACCAGAACTGCCCTCTACCTCTCCGTCTGGAGAAAGCGCAAAGAAAAAGGCACAGGATTGGTCGGAAGCAAAGAAACGGGCGACACCGCCCGGGCAACAAAAGAGGCGGGGCGCGGAGGCGCCGAGAGCTTGCCGGGAGGTGGTCTGTCTTGCTTGCTTCCGATTGGACGACAGCAGGATACCTGCGCCTGCGTAGATCAAACTTCCGCAAAGCACCACACAGCACCGCCCCATACGTTATGTTAATTTAGGTCTCAAGGACCCCATTGGTTGTGATGGGCTATCTGGCTGCGTGACCAATAAAGGGCAAGAATAAAGAGCGTTCCGCCTCTTCCTCTGTGAGCCGGATATTCCTGTTGCTCTGAGGCTATTTGCGTTTTTACCTGTAGACATTAGAAAATGGGCATACTACTCCATTTTTGAGGTAGAAAACTAGGATTTTACTGAGGGCTTGAAATATGCTGGTACTCAGAAGCGAGCCCCACACACCACAGAGGCACAGAAAGCCTCGAAAATAACTTCTAGGTTTGAACGTAGAGGAAGCCGACCTTCACGCCCTCCCTGGTGGGAGTTCTCTGGCTGCCATTGGAGGAGCAAGTTATCGATTTGGAGGTAGCCCCGCCTCGGCCCTGGGGAACTCTGGGATTTTCGCGTCTTGTATCTTTAAATGTGGTTGTTGCTGCTGAGATTATCCTTATTGTGGGTAGCACCCCCTGACGTTTTCGTGGCTCGGATTTCCGTTATGTGTTTTATCCTTTAGTTTATCAGCACCGTTGAAAGCGAAAAACATTTAGGGGAAATGGAAAGATTTTGGGTGTGTTCGTAAAGGATCAAGCATTCTTCCGAGTACTGCGGCTGGCGCTCCGCTAGGTGTTCGTGATTACTTGTATACTGAACAGTATACTGTACCAGCATTCTTGCCATCAGAATACAATGTCTCTGATTCATTTTGATGCCCATTTGAAAATATTTTAACAGTACCTTAAATGAATTATGCACAGTATGGCATGGATAGCAACTATTTACAGAAATCGAATGTTGCTAGGACTGGAACCAGGACTACATGCTATCCGGACAAGAGAATGGTGCTGTAGTTAGGGTGCTAAGCGTGACCAAAGCCAGGAGGACGCACACGGTATGTAATGAAAGATTGTAGTGTGAAGTCCATTCTCAGCCTTTATTGAGACAGCGTTTCATTTTTGCATCCAGCAAATGTAAAATCAATTTTTAAATACCAAAACTTTACTGAGCAGATTATCGTCGTCACGAATTTTGATTTTTTTTTCCTACTTAGCATGTCATGCGAACTGTTGGGTTTGTGTAAGAAAAAACAAACATAATTTGGAATATGTAAGAGTTCTATGGCCGGGCGTGGTGACACATACCTGTAATCCCAGCACTCGAGAAGCTGAGACAGGAGGATCGTCACCAGCTCAAGGGCAGCCTAGGCTACATAATGAGTTCAAGGCCAGCCTGAACTACATAGCAAGACCCTGTCTCAAAAAACCAAAAAAAAAAGGAGTTCTATATTTCTAAGTTACAAATGAAGTACACTTCATAGGGCTAAAGCTAAACAAAAACTGCTTTTATTACTGATGCTTGGGATCCTTGCATTTTGTTTAAAAATTGAAGAATCTTAAAAATCTTTTTCAAAATGAGAGATTTAAGGTTGTTTGTAAATGAAATATTACAGATGTAGCCCCTTTATATTACCAATAAATGAGGTACCAAATTAAGTGTAATCAACCCTGTATTTCTCCTTTTAATATTTTCTTTGATGTACAAAGTAACGTGAATATGGTGACAATCGCACAGGCAAAAAAAGCAGATCTATTTTAATGCCTTTTATTAACTAGCATTTTAATGGGATTTTTCTTTTGGCTTCTATTTTGTTTTGCCCTCCTATTTTATATCAGTGACTAAGAAGAAAAAAATAATAACTCTTATCAAGGTTCCTGCAGAGGTTTAAGATATCAAGGCTGTTACTGTGGTTAGCAGTGTTAACTGAATGATAAATCAGCTGACTGAATTATGAGCACTTCTGTCTGATCTGTTTTAACCTAAATGTAAGTTTTCATCCAGTAGGCTTGTGGAAGCCCTCAAAGTGATCTTTTTCATTTCATGTGCAGGGTATTTGTGTATGTAGATAGACATGTTTTGTTTTGTCTTTCTGTTGCATACATACTGAAAGGTTAAATTGTTGATTCCTATGATAACTATTAACATTTGGGGTCGGGGGGGGGGGCGCCACATGCTAAACACAGGCTCTACCACTGAACTGCATCCCCTGCCCTAAGTGTTCTCTTCCGTTCTTTCCTTATTTGGTACTGAGAATCAAACCCAGGTGCATTCTACCACTGAACTAGATCCCAATCCTCTGGCCTTTTAAAATTTTTTTTTTGAGATAGGGTCTCAATAACTTGCCCAGGTAGGACTCAAACTTGATATCCTCCTGCCCCAGCCTCCCTTAGTGCAGGTGTGTGTCACCATGCTTGGCTAAGTGTTCCATATTGAAGAGAAAAATACTTTAATTATGATAATTTGTTGAGAATTTAAAAGTCCACATTGAAGCAGGCACAATTATTGCTTTTAACACAGTGGATGCCTGAATTGTCTTTTATTTATTTATTTATTTGTTTAAATTTATTTATTTTTTGAGACAGGCTCTCACTACGTAGTTCAGGCTGGCTTCGAACTCACAGTGATCCTCCTGCTGCTGCCTCCTGAGTGCTGGGATAACAGGCATGTACCACCAAGCCTAGCCAGACAGTTCCTTTTTTTTTTTTTTTGGTATCAGGAATTGAACTCAGGGCCTCTCGCTTGTCAGGCGGCCGCTGTGCCACTGAGTATATCCCCGGCCCTTATTTATTTATTTTTTGATACATGGTCTCCCTGTGTAGCCCAAGGTGGCCTTGCTCTCACGGTGATCCTCCTGCTCCAGTCTCCGAAGTGCTGGGATCACAGGCCCTCGGCATCACACCCAGCCACTGAGTCCTCTTTTTACACCACCTGTTGGGCAGTAATTGAAGGCGAGACCTCAGAGTGAAATAAATACAAGGTAATCTGAAATGGAGGAAATGAGCATTAGAATACCTATTTGTATATACTTTTTAATATAATTTTCCATTTCTATTTTTTAAATTACATATAAATGATATAAAGCTTTTGATATGTGTGTAAAATATATTTATATTGATAAATAAATATAAATATATTTATAAGGGTAAATCTTTATTGAGAGCCATGTGAGGAAAAAAAACTCAACTGAGATCAATGGTTTAGGACAACTGCAGCTTAAAATAAAAATCTCGGGGAGAGAAGTCAAAGCAGAAGACACATATGTTTTTATAACCATCTATTCAGAAGGAAAATTACCAGGTCTTGGTGATGTAGGCTTTAATTCCAGCACTCAGGAGGTTGAGGCAGGAAGACCACAAGTTCAATGACAGCTTGGACTGCGTAGTAAGATTTTGTCTAAAAAAACCCCCTGAATTTTCATTTCCAAATTAGAAAATAAAAGGAAGGAGGCTGAATGCTTTTGTTTCGTTTTCTTTTTTGTTTTTGTGACAGTAAATTGCCTGGGCTGGGCTTAAGCTTGCAATCCTCCTGCCTCAGCCTCTCAGTGCTGCGATTGTTACTGGGTTTTGGGGTGCTGGAGTCTCCTTCTGGAGATGGTTTCCAGGTTCTTTCTGTCCTGAACAAAGAATTGGTCAAGACAAGTGCAAATGGTAGCAAAGTTTCACATAAAGAGACCAGCTCTGCAGAGCAAATTTGGGCTGAGTAAAAGTAGGAAAACAAGTGCACCCTACAGCTCCTGCAGCATAAGGGCAAGAGAAAACACTGCAGCAGGCCGAGAGCTCAGTGTGGACAGCCCTTTTATATCACCCACTCCCTAGGCTGGGTCAGGTCCAGGCCATCCTATCAAAAACCTGCTCTAGTTCTCTCGAGAAATCCACCTGCAGGGCTTTGGGAACTGTTCTGCCACTGTGTCCTGGGATTTTGTAATGAACAGGTCACATCTACTTCCCCACCCAGTCTGCCACACAGTAGACTCCTGCCTCAGGATTACAGGCATGTGCCACTGCACCTCGATTCTGATTTCTATTCTTTCTTTTTTTTTTTTTGGTACTGGGGACTGAACTCAGTACCAGTGCTTGAGAGGTGGGCAGCACTGATTTCTGTTCTTAAATTGAACTTGTAAGTAAATAGCTACAGAGTTTTTTGTTTGATTTGATACGGTTTTTTTTTTTGGTACTGGGGATGGAACTTGGGACCTTGCGCTTGCGAGGCAGGCGGCAGAACTACTGAGCTAAACCCCCAGCCGTGGTTTGATATGGTTTTTGTAGCTCAAGATTGAGTTTAGGAGCACTAAGCTGAAGCCCCCAGCCCTTTGTATTTTATTGTGAGACAGTCTTGATAAATTGCCCAAGCTGGTATCAAACCAATAATCTTTCTGCCTGAACCACCCAGGTAGATGGGATTACAGGTGTGGGCTACCAAACCTGGCTCCAAAGTTTAAGAAATAGTTTTAGGGCTGGGGATTTAGCTCAGTGGTTTCGCCATCTGCCTCGAAAGTGAAAGATCCCAAGTTCGATCCCTGATACCAAAAAAAAAAGAAATAGTTTTAAATTGCAGTATGAAGGGTTTAAGTCATAGCTTATAAAACTATTTACCATTAAAAATCATGTAAAATGTACATTATAAAAGCCACAAAAAAATCGCTTCTTGGCCTTTTGGCTAAGATCAAGTGTAAAAACCACAAAAAAGAAAATATACTATAAAGCCCTAATTGTACACAGTGCTGCTTGCAAGTTCTTATGCTCAGTCACTGTGTCAGGGCTCAACTAGAGAAACAGAACTAATAGAGATATATAAAAGAGCTTTTTCTTTGCCAAGGAATTGGTTACACAATTGTTGGGGACTGGCTGGTCAAGTCTGAGGTCTGTGGAGCAGCCAGCAGGAAAGGTAGGCTGGAACTCTGAAAAACCATGCTGTAGTCCAAGAATTCTTTGGCAAACCTGTTCTACTCTAAGGGTCTTTCAACTGATTGAATCAGGCACACTCAGATTATCTAGGATAATCTCCTGTACTTAAAGTCTACTCATTATGAGATTTTGGTAGTGGGGTACTGGAGATTAAACCCATCATCTTTTTTTTGTTGTTTTGTTTTGTTTTTGTTTTTTGTTTTTTGAGACAAGGACTGGAATTTGGGATCCTCCTGCCTCAACCTCCCAGAGCGCTGAGATTACAGATGTGCATCACCACACCGTGCTTGATTGTGAAATCTTTATCACATGTATAAAATACCTTCCCAGCAACACATGGCTTCGTGTTTGATTGAATAACAGCACAGGAGACTAAAGCTTAGGCACATTAATACTGCTTCTCAAGGTGAAAATTGATTATGACAATCACATATATAGAACTTCAAGTTAGTCATTCCAGCATGAGATTTGAGACTTGGAACTTATTCCAGAGAACTGTATTTCACATTTTGTCTTTCATTTGTGGGTTAGTATAAACATATAAAATGTATAGGCCAATCCTATTTCCTCTTTGGTAAAATACGTCTGATAGGAACAGCCCTAGCCTCCAAGTCCACTCCAGCCGTGGCTAACTCCCTGCCACCCTTCCTGCTTGAGACCTGGCCTTTTGAAGACTCCACCTCTGATCCTAAGCACCATATTCCATTGCCAAAATTTGAATCCCAGAGCTCCTGGATGGTTTCCCTATGCATAGAAGTCCCACACCCTCGCATGCATCCTTCTACTGTTTAAGGAGTCCCTGTTGCAAGCCAGGAGGTCTGGCACTTCTGGAAATGTCAAAAAGATGCCCTTGAAACCAGAGGCTCCTTGGTGCTGGGGACAGCCTGTGACAGGTGCTGGCTGGTTTTATACCAGTGACTATAAACTGCTCTTTCTAAGATAAGATGTAGTGGTGGTTTATTCCTTCAGTTTTAAAATGAACTTCACTATTGGTCTCTTTAGTTTGTACAGATAGAAAGTTGGGGAAGAGGTGGGGCTAGTATTGGAACTGACAATTATGTTCATCAAAAATGCCATCTATCTCCAGAAGGCCTTCTCACTCAGCTACTCAAAAGTGGTGAACTGAATGGCTTAGGCTTCACATTCTTTTCGTGTCACTTTGAAGTTAAAAGAATGAACAAATAGTAAAATAGCTCCAATGAGTGGAGTTAGAAGAAAAAGGCCAGAGTGTCTGAGAAACCAGTGTCTAGGGCTTCTAATTAAGAATTAGGACATGGGGGCCAGGGGTTTAGCTCAGTGGTTCTGGCGCCTGCCTTGCAACCGCAGGGTCCCAAGTTCAATCCCTGGTACCAAAAAAAAAAAAAAATTAGGACTTGATATTACCATATGGACCGAACTCATAGTTCCACAGAAAATGAAGTTGCAAACCAAAGGAGGAGATTAGGAGAGTTGTTGTTGTTTTTGGTCTCACTGTATAGTTCCATAGTGGTAGTAGTAGTGGGTCTCACAGAGTCTTACTTTGTAGTTCAGGCCAGCCTTGAACTCACTGTGTAGCCCAGGCTGGCCTCAAACTTACGGTGATCCTCCTGCCTCAGCCTCCTGAGTGCTGGGATTATAGGCATGCACCACCATGCCCAGTTAGGAGAGTTTTTATTGGAAATAAGTAGAAGGGTAGCTCTTGGATTTCCAGGAGGGGTCTCACGTGGCTGGCCCCTCACTCCAGACCTAATTGTGGATAAACAAAGCCCAGGAATTGCTCAGTTGTTTAGTGGCCACCTATCACAGGGGGCTCTGCAGGTTTCAGCCTATGTACTGCCGAAGAGAGCACAAGCAAAAGAGGTGTTTTTGTTTTGGGTACCAGGGATCAAACTTGGGACCTTGTGCTTGTGAGGCAGGCGCGGGAACCCCTGAACTAAATCCCTGGCCCTGCAGGTTTCAAATGACCAGTTAGAACTCAGGCTTCTAATCCAGTTCCTCAGCATGCAGAGTTTGCAGGAAACAGGAATTTTAGAGAAAAGGAACCAGTGGTTTTGCATTTTAAGTTCCTGGAAACTCAGAAGTGTAGTAGGGAGGGGCTGCAGTTCCTTTAGTAGAGAGGAGGCTGCACTCCATGGTGCCCAGGAAGTTCATTCTTATCAATATGGCTGATCACCCACCTCTATCTCAGAGCCTTCCCTACCTAGCTACTTTACTGGGAAGCCATCAAAATTACTTTTTACAATATTTTATTTTACTATTGAGGGATGGTACTAGGGATCAGACTCAGGTGCCCTTTAGTACTGAGCTACCCTCAGCTTTTGTATTTTTACTATTTTACCTTATTCTTTGTGGTATTGTTACTGGGTTTTGGAGTGCTGGAGTCTCCTTCAGAGGTAGTTTCTAGGTTCTTCTCATCAGGAGCAATGAATTGAATAAGACAAGCAAAAACGGTGACAAAGTTTATTTTAAAAAGTAAAAGTCGGGCCGGGGATTTAGCTCAGTGGTTCTGCCGCCTGCCTCGAAAGCACAAGGACCTGAGTTCAATCTGTGGTACCAAAAAAATAAATAAAAATAAAAAGTAAAAGTCCAGGCTAGGAATGTAGCTCCTGTCAATTGTGAGGCCCTGAGGTTAAGGGAGAAACTGGCTCTGCAGAGTGAATTTGGGCTGAATAAAAAAAGAAACAAAGTACACCCTGATGAACGCAGCCCACCATGAGGAAAGCAGCCCACCATGAGGAAAGCAACAGTCTCAAGCTCCTCAGGGCCCTTTCATGCCTCCCACATCAGGCGGGAGCCTGCAAGAACTTCTACATACTGGGTCCTGGGAAGCGGTGCTGCTTAGATTTTAGGATCCTGCTACACCTCTCCACCCAGCCAACCTGAGCCCTGCCCTATCTCCTATCTCATTATTGAGGATTGACCTCAAGTGCACAATCTACCCCATTTTTAGACAAGGTCTCAATAAGTCTCTAAGTGCTCACACTTGCAGTCCTCCTGCCTGAGCCTTAGAGTTCTAGGACAACAGGTGTGTATCACTGTTCTGGCCTTTATTTTAAACAGAGAAATAGGGCTAGGTCCAAAAGGAGCAGCTTGGGATCT